AAATGGCTGGATGACAAGCTCCAACAGATTTCTTCGTTAGATTTCTATGATTTCTTGGCCTGCAGCAAATTCAATAGGCGCTGATGCTGTTTTTGTTCTTGGAAAATTGAGACAACATGCATCGAAATTGAAATTGAATCATTCTTTGATGATCAATGAATAACCTCGAAGTCCATTTTGTTAATTGCCCTGCAGGCGTGTCGACTGGCCAGAAGGACTGCATCATGTCAAGTCCACATGTCAAGACTTTCTTGATTTTGACCAAGAGAATGGCGGCAGGGCCTCGAAAGTGTGGCCTTCATTTTTGTGTGAAGCATATCCTTTTTTGCGCGGCGCAACATCGTGCTTGGAGATGATGGTGCTGGTTGCTGAAAGGTTTCTTTTCAATTTGGTCAATTTCAATGAATTGGATCAATTGGAATTTGTTGAGTTTTGTGCTGGCCGAGCCCATCTCAGTCGAGAGATGCTGCGTCAAGGATTTCACCAAGGAGCTTCTGTGGACATTCTTTTTCATCCCCACCATGACATGTTGAGTTCCAAGGGACTGAGGACTTGGTTTGACATGGTAGTGGCTTCTCGGCGAAAGTCGTTACACTGGTTTGCTACCAGATGCTCGAGCTTCGTCCCGCTCTGTATCTCTCAAAGCATGAGATACGAGGAGAATTCATTCTACGGGGATAGAAGCAGGCCATGGGTGGAGCAGGGCAACCTTCAACAGGAAGTAGCTGCAATGATGATGTTCTTCAGTTTCCTCTTGGATTGCATTCCGGTGTTGGAGCAACCCACAGGGAGTGTGCTTCCAAAACTACCATCCCTTCGTAATGTTTTGTGGTTCTTCGACTTCAAGAAGACAGTGACCTACATGGGAAGCTTTGCTGGCCCAACAAGCAAGCCTCTCCAGATCTGGCATCCGTCTTCAGGGCCTGGCTCCCTATTTGCAGCCATCGCCAGGCCAAGGCCAGATGGCTTGGACAATTTGGCTTCCAGTGGCCAGAGCTGGGATGGAAGCCACACTTACACTGGCAATAAGGAGATGCTCATCGAAAGCGAGCACTACACGCCAGAGTTTGGCGCTTGTGTCGCCCAAATCTACGAGCAGATTCGAGCTTCGTGAAAACTTCACAACGCTCAATTTGCTCAGTGTTGTCCATTCAAACTGTCAGTCAGTGTCTTGAATGCGACAAGAGTACTATAGCCCAAGGGTTCTGACTTTGAGTGGTGCGTCCCTCGGTCAACTTTGACTGTCTCTGTGGGGTCAAGAGGCAACATGGCATTTGCTCCAGCAAAAAAAATGCGCAATCAGTGACAGAGCACTGCAAGTTCAGCGTTGCCATCTCATGTGCTTCAGTCAATTTAATTGACTCATTAGCCCTTTGGCTTTTTGAAATACTTCAAATATGTGTACTGAGGTTGGAATTGTTCTGCTCCGCTACCAAGCTTGCTCCGCTACCTTCAAGAGCTCAATGCAGGCATGCTTGACTTCTTTGACATTTATTATTAATATCACTTCCCATTCGCATTCCCAAAGCAAGACCCAGGATCAGGTCTGGATGACGCTCTAGGCCTGCCTACTGTTTGTTGCTGGTCCTGTTTGCATTTTAAATGTTTTCAAAAGTAATTCTTAATAACTTGCTTGCAAGGCTCGGCGAGAAGTGGCAATTGGATCAATTGACTTCAGCTGATTATGATTGTGGCACTTGAAACAATTGACTGACTGACTAATTGAGTTCAGCTTCTCATCTTCATTCTTTTGCCCACTTGGACAATTGTCGATTTGTGTTTCTGCATGCTTGGGTCAAAGCATGTTGGGCATGGCATGATTTCTTGCCTAGTGATTTTTTATTTATTTTTTTAAAAAATTTTGACATTTTTTTAAAAATTAAATTTTTGACAGAATTGACCGGTTCAATTGACAAAATTGACACAAGTCACACACATGATCGAAGCAACGACATGATTCAATTCACGCAGGTGAGGTCTTCACAATAATAACACAACCGCAGGTAAACGTTCAATCAACGTTTTACCATATTTTAGATTTTATCTTTTTGAAAATATTTTGTCTTTTTTTAAATATTTTGTAAAAAATATGAAACCACATTTGTTTGCACAACGTTCTGGACAACAAATTAGTCTACCAAATTTCAGATTAGCCTACCTAAATTTCAGAAATGCCTATGTCATTTTCAAATCACCTAGGCATTTCTGAGATCAGGTAGGCATTCCTGAAAATCATGAACGGACCAACCCCTACAAACTAATACCCTACGATCTGGGATGCATTCTTAAGTTTGTGATTTTCATAGGGAACTCAGGATCCCTACTCATCAGTGTTGGGGCGTGCGTTCACCGTGCAAGGTGCTGTCCACGCAAGCCAGTCCAGCGTTCCAGATGTGCAGATGCATGTTGATGGGTTTGGCTCTGAGTGTGTGCTGCCACGCATTTCATCCAGTATATGCGTGTCGTTTAAAAGGTTTAGAAGACAAGTATATAGTACAAGAGTCCATGAAGGTGAAACCGGCTTGAGATTAGATGAACTTCGCAGATGCCTGAATGTGCTGTGTGACATGGATGAATGCATAGCCATTGTTTGTGAACCGTTTGCCAAGGAAACGTCTGAACTTGTCGATGCCCTTGCAAGCCATGCCATTGGGTGACACGCAGCCAAGCATGGCCACTTTTGGAGAAACGCAGGCTGGAAACTAGTAAAAAATGAACCCCATAGGTGTGTATAATATTGTTTTATGGTGTGTTTTGACCGTTTGAAATTTAAATGGATTATAAAGCAGGGTGCATGTTGTTTTGACATTGTATTGACGCATGATGTTTCAATCCAATGGTATTGGAAAACACTAAGTTTTACATGTTGACCTTCGATGTTGCAAATAACATGTGCATGATCGTTTGTTTTTCTTTGATTGGGTTGAATCCACTGATGTGCTCGCAGGTCGACATGTGCACTCTGGACACATTGCCTATGGAGATGGAAGCCTCGACTGTGGACTCTTCACCCGATGCTGCAGGTCCCATGCTTGCCCAGCCCGTGGTTCCTCAGGATGTTCATGAACCTCAGCCTGTGCAGACAGGTCAAGTTGCCCAGGCCCATGTTGTGCAGCAGATCGCCCCGCCAGTGACTCCTGTGACACAACCGAGCCCGATGCCTAGCCAACCCGTGCAGAGTTTGGTTGTCCCACAGCCTGCAGTTCCAGTGGTCCAACCAGTGCAGCCTTTGCCTGTCCCTGCAGTGCCCATGGCGAATCAGATGGTTACCCAACCTGAGCAGCCTCCACAGCCAGCAGTGGTCCAACCTCTGCAGCCTTTGCCTGTCCCTGCAGTGCCCATGGCGAATCAGATGGTTACCCAACCTGAGCAGCCTCCACAGCCAGCAGTGGTCCAACCTCTGCAGCCTTTGCCTGTCCCTGCAGTGCCCATGGCGAATCAGATGGTTAACCAACCTGAGCAGCCTCCACAGCCAGCAGTGGTCCAACCTAGGCAGCCTTTGCCTGTCCCTGCAGTGCCCATGGCGAAGATGGTTACCCAACCTGAGCAGCCTCCGCAGGCAGCAGTGGTCCAACCTGTGCAGCCTTTGCCTGTCCCTGCAGTGCCCATGGCGAATCAGATGGTTACCCAACCTGAGCAGCCTCCACAGCCAGCAGTGGTCCAACCTCTGCAGCCTTTGCCTGTCCCTGCAGTGCCCATGGCGAATCAGATGGTTAACCAACCTGAGCAGCCTCCACAGCCAGCAGTGGTCCAACCTGTGCAGCCTTTGCCTGTCCCTGCAGTGCCCATGGCGAATCAGATGGTTAACCAACCTGAGCAGCCTCCACAGCCAGCAGCCCCCGTGCAGACTTTGGCAAATGTAGCACCAGAACGTGCACAGCCTCGAGCACCTGCAGTGGCTGCTCAGCCAGCAGTCCCTCAGCAAAGCCAGCAGCAAAAGACACAGCAGCCAGAGGTGGCAGCGGCAGAAGCAAAAGAACGAGAGCAAGCTGACAAAGACTTGCAAGCTATGGGTTGGCTGACTGGCAAGTCATGTCGACCTCAGGCCAGCCCTCATGGCACATCAGCTGCGGAGCATGTTGATGGTTCAGCAGACAATGCAAATATGTTGCGTCGGCAGAAGAGTCAAGTTTTTCAACTTCCGCCAGATTTGCATTCGCAGACAGGCCCCAATCAGGCACTTCCTGCCCGCCCTCAGCCTGCAGCTGTTGTCAAGTTGGAGCCGGTTGTGCGCCAGCCTTTGCCAGTGCAAAGCTCCAAGCCACAGCCCATGGATGCAGAGTACAGCCGCCGAGCAGCTGCAAATTTGCTTGCAAGGCTCAAGAAGAATCCTTCCAGGTTGGATGGCCTGCCATCACTTCGCAAGATGGTTTTTGAGGAAGAGAAGAAGAACGATTTGATTTCCATGCTGTGTGAAAATGGTGGCAACCTGGAGCAAGTTCAGGTGAACTTGCAGCAGCAGGAGGAAGTTGGTCGGGTTTTCTCAGCCAAGAAGAAAGCTCTGCGTTTTACAAGAAGCAGATGGAGGATTCTTATGGACAAGATGCCGACAAAGTCATGAAGTTTAAGGAGTCCATTGGGATGATTGAGGAAGATGAGAACAACCCAGACGGCATTGTGTACCTCATTGCCCAGCGTGAGGATGAGGAGGACAACTACAACAGATCAGGCTGGGATGTGCTGCGCATTTTTTCCATGAACATTCTGTCGGCAATTTAAGCTGGCACAGTCAAATTTCATTGGCAATGAAACTGTTTTTGTGCCGAATGGTTTTTCATCTTGAGGTACTATGATGAGCACTGGCAGAGTTCAGGTGACCCCGGCCAATGTCGCTGAGGTTGCAGAGGTCATGACACTAAGTGGAATTATTTAGCATATGGGCATGAGCTGTTTTGCTGTTACATGAGAACTGGAATTTACCACTGTGCAAGAGTCAGATGATTTCATGTGTGGAATCTGTGCATGTAATTGGTTGTGATGTTTTGACTGTGTTTGCAAGGATGGGCCCACCAAAGACTACGGCCAAGAGGCCGGCCCCGTCGGACAGCAGCACTACGAGCCCAACAACACCAGCGTCAGCCCCTGGCACTCCGCGTGCGGAGGAACCTCCCAAGAAGCAACCCAGGAAAAAGACCCCGGAAGAGCAGCTTCCCCTGACGCCCTTGCAAAAGGCCAAAGACATGTGCGGCAAATGTTTGAAACGAAAGTCCGATGCGAGCAATCTTGGCTTGACTTTGCAGTCAATTCCATATGCGGATGCTTTGAGCTCAGAGATGACTGCATTCGCAAAGAAGTTTGAGTGCCTTGGCAGCCATTTTTTGACAACCATGCATGGTCTCGAGATGCACCCAATGCATCCTAATGCGATATATACATATATATTCCCGATTTACTTTTCATAGATATGTATATGTATAATATGAGTATATATATATATATATGTTAAGCTTGTACGTTTGCATTGTTTTGGGCTGAGCAAGCATGGTCTGACATGTTTTCATCGATGCACCCCTTGCGACATAAATTTTGCATGGCCCGCTCAGGGATCTCTACCTGAAGACGCAGGCCCTTGTGAACGCCCAGAACAATGAGGACAGATTAACATGATTGCGGCCAGCGGTGTTTACCTTCTCGTGGACCAAATTTTGACCTTGGGATTTTTGTAACCTTTCATTTCCATGCCAATGATTCACATGGATGGAGATTATTCCTGCCCTTGGGAAAATGCAATCGCTTGGCATTGTGGTTTGCCTTCTGGCTTCATGCAGGAGGATGACTACATCCCACATGTGAAAGAGTTCATTTGCCTCCAGAAGCAGTTTGAGAAGCCCTACGCGGCCGGTAATGCCATAGCGAGGCAGCAAAATAAAAAACCAGCTAGCAAAGCCAAGGCCAAGGCAAAGTCAAAAGCCTAGGCCGACGATTGCCTGATGGTGGATCCATGGCAGTTTTGTTGAAAGTTTGAAGAACACTGAAGATAAAGAAACTTGCAGCTCTGCAGATGTCTACCAGAAATACTTACACACTGTATATATACAGGAATGCTTTACAGATGGTGGACGACACCATTGGCGATCATAGGCTTTTTTCTGCTTGCAGGGCATGTCAGTGCGCTGGCGATGTTTGGATTTAATTGCCGGGGCGGCTCTGAGAACCCGAGCCTGACAGCCCGGGATGAGCCATGGGTGTGCAATTTCATTCTTACAAACATTGGGGCAAGTGACACAACCAAGTCTGCTTAGCTTGGCATACGGCCATACATGATGTGTCGGGAGCGCTGCGGAGAAGAAAATGGTGTCATTTTGTATTTGAATTCGGATTAGATAAAAGCAGTTGCGACGCCCAATTGCGTCAGACATGTTACACAGCCACTTGTGCATTTTTGGAGTGCTGCCATGCAGTCCCGCGCAGGCCTGATGTTGACGAAAACCCTGAGTTTCCCGACAAGTACCGGAAAAAAATGATTCTTGCCCACTGCAGCATTCATGCATGGCATCATCAGATGAGATGTGCATAACACATGACACATGTTTCATGGAAGAGTGCTGCATCTGTTGGTGTGTTTTGGTATTCAGCTTAGGACTGTGGATGAGATTGACAGCGCTTTAGTTTGCAGAATGGCTGAACGGGTTGCTGAGGGAAAACTTTCTGTGAGTGGTGCTGCTGCTTGTGCTAGCGATTTTGTTCAAGATGGGAGTGTGAAGGCTGGCCCTTGATTTGCTGCAACTTTTTATACTTGGTTTATAGCCTGTGCATGACAGCAATCAAACCCAAACAGTCTTTTCCGAGATTCATGTGTGTGTGTATGTCAGGTGAGTGCGAAACAGTTCGTTGCCTCACGTGAGCGGGACTTCTTTCGTTGGCTGAAGCTGCCAATTCCCATCTACAAATGTGAGGTCCCAGTGAGAACAGATGCCAGCAAGAGTTCGCAGTTAAATGGTCGTGGCAATGCCAGCATATCAGTGGTTCTGCCGAGTGACCACTTACAAGCTCTATATGATCAAGGGCCTGATGCGTCTTGCCACCAGCATTTGCAATGCACACATGCATCATGTTTTGAATTTTGTTTTTCCATTTTTTCCATTTTGTTTTTCCATGTTTTGAATTGCCGACTTACCTTTTTTCGCTGAGGCAATGGCCGAATGCTTGGGGTCACATGATGATTTTGGCAAACTTTGGCGTGCGTCTGGACGTGACCACATGGCATCATGCATTCCAATTATCATACATGAAGATGGAGTTCCTCATTTTTCAGGCATCTGGGCATGCATGCATCAGCTGAGAAGTTTTTGGGATAGCACGGCAACATATCATGACAACAACAGCTGACTTGTTTTATGCGAGGCAGCACCGCTACGGTTTGGAGCTGGAGCACTGGATGTCTCCGGAATGATTCCTGGAAAAGCAGACACGCTATCGCCATCATGGGCACTTCGCAGGTAACTGAAGAGACTAGGCGCGAGATTTGCAAGATTGTGGCTTGGGACATGAAACAATTGGAAGCTGGAGTCTATGACGTCGTCAATCACACTGGACGATTTCATCCACTTGGTTCGAAACGGGAAAAGCTGGCGGGAGAGAAATTTTCAATGAAAGCAGTGGCTAGGCTTTTCAAGATGATCGGGGAACCACCCAACGAGTTGGCACAAGTTCAATCTTCAGACGTTTTCATGAGGCATATAACAAATGCCATATATAGCACATGTCGCGTATGACAAAAAAGTTCAACCATGTCGGTTTTCATGACATGTCATGCAACTCCCATGATGAAGGGGGCGCAAGCCTCATAGATGCTTTTAAAAAACAAACATGCATTAGTGGGTGTATGGGTTAATTGTCCATAAAACATGACAAAGCCAAGGGGGTCAATCTGTATGATATCATCCATACCCCACAGTCACTGCTGCAGCATGCTTGCTGAGGCTTTCTGCTTCTGGAAAGGTGACATGGAAGCTCATGCGTACGCCCACCTTCTTACCCAGACTCAACGGTATTACAGATGCGCGCAATGCTGTGATTTTTGCTTGGCAACCACGGACAGAAGATCACCAGAACTCAGCTGGGGAGATTTGACTCTGAGATCGTTGTGGCGGAGTACTCTTACACCTTCAGATCCACATGACAGATCCCCATGGACACAAGTTCCGGGATTTGAGAAGAAGCTACGCTTGTTTGACCTTCTGCACATTGTGCATTTGGGAACTTTGCGAGAGCTCATTCCTGCGGCCATAATCAGTTCATTGGAAGATGGATCACTTCAAATGTTTTTTGGAATGACTGGCAGAAGTTGGGATGATACCCTGCATGCTTTCAGCCATCTAGCAGCGGCATGAGCTACAGATCAAAACATGCAGCTCGGCATTGGAACCCTTACAATGGCAAGACTTGGCCGGCCGAAGTACCGCCATTGGCCCATGCCTGCCCTGGACACCCGCATTAAGGCTGCCCGGACAAGAGCACTTTTTGCATTCACCGCTTGGGTTATGGTAAAGCTGGTTGATTCATGTGCTTTGGATACGGCTGCCAAAAAGCTGCATGGCAAAATGCGTGCAGTGTGTTGTTGGTCGCTGGACGTTGCCCTTAGTTCATGGAATATGAACGATGAAGTTGTCATGCCAACGCCGACGGTGGAAGAAGTCACATGGCTTTGCAGGCTACATTCTGCATCGTACCAGTGGCTTGCTGCTCAATGTTTGACTGAACGTCGTCTCCTCTACAAAATCCGCCCCAAAACCCACTACTTCTGCCACATGATTGATGTCTTTGAGGAGACAGAGATTTGTTTGATGCATTTATCGACCTTTGGTGACGAAGATTTTATGGGAAAGGTGCGTTGTATTTGCCAAGGATGCCACGGCGGAACATACATGCTGACATGGGCACGACGCTATGTTTTGAAACGGGCGTTGCTATGGAGAGCGATTAAACTTGCGAAGCGTGATGGCAGCTGAGAAAACATGCCAAAGGATTTTTGGGATTGTGACATGCAGCTGTGTGTATGACATCTTAAATGGTCATATGATTTTTTCTTGCAGATTGTTCGACATTTTTTTTGTGCAATTGTTTTGTCACCAGATTTGGTTCCGTACAGATTTCTAAATCTAATAGTGGACCCATATTCAATCTCGAAGTTTGTCGTGCATGTTTTTCTTCAATTTGTCATGACGGCATTTTCTCGTGAACAGATGATGACGGTTTTTTTACAATGTCGTTCGCGCAATCACATTTTTATGTTTTTCTTTTTATAGCTGTACGTATATGTGGGAAGATGATAGACAGATAAGGGGTAAGGATAGAGAGACATAAATAGATGATAGCATGAGAGATTGGAGACATTTAGATTTTCACATTTTTCCGATAACTTGCCCATGGCCCATGTCATGTACGGCTGATAACTTGTATTTTCTGGTTTCAGCTGCAATTTTTGGACGACAAGTTAAACGCCCACGTTTAGGCAAATGCACGCGTGAACCGCCCAAGGGTGTTTCTCGTTTAGGTAAATGCGCGCATGATACGCCCCAGGGTGTTTCTGGCACCCACGTTTGGGCAAAGGCCCGCATGAAACGCCCCAGGGTGTTTCTGGCACACAACATACGCCCAAGGGTGTTTATTTTGGATCTGGGTGTAAAACATACGCCCAAACCCCAGGTTGGTACCTCCAGGTGGTGGACGAGCTCGCCACGTGCTTCCAAAAGATCGACCGCATGGCCACCCGTATGGTGTCTATGGGACTCATCAACCCGACGGAAGGGACCTACGGGAAGGTCCTGATGTTTCCCGTCATCACTATATAGATACTATATACGGCAGATTATATCAATGTATGTGTATGTATATATATAAATATATATATATATATCTAAAGGGCATCGTTATAAATTAAAAGATACACCACGGCGTCTAAAGGGCATGGTTTTTATCATTCGAGGGGTGAAGATGCACATGGACAACTTCGAGGGGTGGGACGCCAACTTGTGCAGCTTGAAGAAGCAATTCAAGAAGAAGCTCAAGACGGCGGCGCCCGCACCAGAGTACATCAAGGAGTTCATCGCTCCCTCCAAGTTCACGGCAGAGATGTACTCGTACTGCTACGGGGACGAGGTACCAGTGGCAGCAGGGACACTGCCGCCGATCCCAAACCCAGACGGCAGGTTGAGAAGGTCATCAACGAGTCAGGCCCTGTCCAGTCAGGCTCTGGTCCCAACCATGCCCCGTGAGAATCAGCTGATGCAGGAGCTCTACCTCAGAAAGATGGCCATGATGAATGCCATGGAAGAGAATGTGGGCCCTGGCGGTTGCCTAGCAAACCTGAAGATCTTTAAGAAGGATGGGAAAACAACGCCTGCAGCTTCAGCGCCACCGTTACCAGCCCTGCCAGCACCAGTGGAAGCTCCGAAGGCACTGCCAGCCCCTGATGGGAGTGGATCTGCACCTCCATCCAGTGCACCAACTCCCGCAGCACCACCCAGTGCACCAGGCCCTCCAGGACCACCCAGTGCACCAGCTCCGACTGCGGAGGCTGTGCTTGAAGCATTGAGGAACAGGGAGCTTGCAAAGCCGAAGGCCAAATCAAAGGCCAAAGCAAAGGCCAAAGCAAAGGCCAATGCCAAGAACAAGGCCGCCACTGCCAAGGGAAAGCCTGGAAAGAGCACGGCCAAGCCCGCCAGTGCCAAGCCCGCCAGTGCCAAGCCCGCCAGTGCCAAGAGCACGGCCAAGCCTTCCAGTGCCAAGAGCACGGACTTGGGCAAGAGCACACTCCTTTTCAGACGAGGCCTCCTCTCCCTCCGCCCTGCAGTGGTACCATATGGTACCGTGCAGGCAAGATCCAATGTTCGAGCAGCGACGCCTTCAGGGTCTTCTTGAAAACGGGAGACAGATGTGACCGTCCTTCGGCTAATAGGCATCTGTTTTTGTGCAAAAATTCCCTGCCCATAAATATATATATATATTTATTTATTTATTTATTTATTATATAATATTTATATTATATATATAATATATTTTTTTTATCTATATTATATATATTGTATATATATATATATATTTTTTTGATATATTATATATATATTATATTGTATATATTATTTATAATATTTATATTGTATATATTATAGATTATTTTTATACATATATATATATATATATTATGCGTCTGTGTCAAAATTAATAAACCACCTTTCTTCTTGCGCAGCACATGCTTCAGGAAAGCTGCGACGAGGTGACGATCCCGCATCTGTGTGGAAGCGAGCCCTGGATGCCATCGATAGGGGATCATGGTGAAGGACATGCCGCTGAAGGACATGCCGCTGTCCATCCACGAGCGATCTTGGGTATCATGTACATTAGTGAGATGCCATCTATATGGGGTGATGGTGAACTTGCGGCTGTGCACCCAACATGGAATTTTTGCACATGCTGTACATTAGTGAGCTATGCCATTTGTAGGCGAGGCCAAGAGGCACCGTTCATGGAGTATAGATTAGTGAGTAATATCTCATTTGTAGGCGAAGGCAAGAGGCACCGTTCATGGAGAAAGTTTTTCTTGTGCAGTCACATGATCGTTCATGCAGTCAAGAACCAACACACTTGCCTCAAGAAAGACACATCTCCGTTTCGGCGCTCAGGTCAGAATCAATCTTTGGTGCGGGTGCCTGTGGCCAGTATGTGGGGCAAGTGAGTAGAGCAAGAACATATATTGAATATGTTTGACACTGGTGCCCCTGACCTTCCCTGTTTGCAACGGGATGCATATTTTGAAAAGAATTTCCAGCTCATATGCGTGCCCCTGTTTGCAACGGGGTCATACTTGGATATATTCCCATGTCTAGACATGCCCAAATATGTTGTATCATTGTTAAGTTCAATGGTTGGAATGTTGCCGGCTTTAATGCATGTTGATACATGCCCTGTTCAGACACCATGGATGGGGAAACCGCAGAGTTTGAGGCAATTTTGTGACATGCTAATGTGTGGCGTTGGGGTTGTTCCCAATAGGATCTGAAACCAAGCAGGTGTATGTCATATATAAATACTTAAATGATATATCCGCATGGGAAACGATAGCCCAAACCAGTGGACCGGAAGATTGCCAGGTCCTACAGCAGATCAAAGGGGAATCTTGAGATGTAGATCTGTGTTTAACTAATTTGAGATCTCTGTTTGAAACGGGGTGCATATTTTAGGATTGCACCTATAAGGCTTTGAAACCCAACAACTATACTGAACATATATCTTCTGGAACCCATTGTGCCAAATCGTTCGCACTTTGTATTTGCGGGTGCGTTATGAGCACCATGCCAAAGATGGGATAAAGACCATGCCGCCATTACCTTTCCCAAGCAGTGCTCGCCACAAAAGGCAGGGCCGACATCTGCAATCATTACGAGATGGGATGACCAAGTCCGACAAGTGTCAGGGCAAGCTGACTATATGCTCACATACAGATTATATGATCTATCCTAAATCTATCTCATTACATGTACTGCACCAGATACATGACAAACCTGCAATCCATTGATATGCGATTCTGTCCGTGAAAGTTTGTCATCCCGATGTTGGTGAACATTTTCTTCACTGTGCCTATATAGATCTGCCACGATCTCAGCATTGATTCCCCCTGTGTTTTTGCTTCACCTGATTCGGAACTCAAGAATTCACATCGCCATGAGTGCATCATCGAGCGACGCCTCGAGGAGGGTTTACACCCATACACACCGACGTTCTTATGTCAGCCAGAGTGGGCTTGTAGAGGTTTTGAAGAGTGTGAAGGAAAATGGACTTCCATCGGCTGTGAGCAGAGGGGCCTTGAAACGTGCAAGGGGGGATGCCCTGATGAATGAGACACCGCTTGGATCTCTCTTCACGACGACCGCATTGGAATGCACAGATGGGCGGAGTCGAGAGTTTCCGTGCATCAATCCACTTGCCTGCCTGTGGATGGTGCTTCACCAGTGCCAGCGGTTCTCCGAGTGGTTTCATGGCCTGACGCCCTCATCCTTTTCCTCTCCCTGGGACTTGACCGTCTGCTGTGACGAGATCGCCCCTGGCAACGCATTGAAGCCCACCAACGAAAGGAAGATTGTCGCATTCTACTGGAGCATTCTTCAGTTTGGGCGGTTGGTCCATGCAGAGGAGCTGTGGTTGCACATCCTCGTCATTCGATCCTCACTTATGAGGAAGATTCGGGGTGGGTATTCCCAGGTCCTTGCAAAGGTTAGCCGGCTGTTTTTTGCGGCACCTTGGGACTTGCGGATGGGCATCCAGCTGTCAGTTCCGGGCATGGGGGATCGTTTTCTTTTTGGGCGACTCTCTATGGTCGTGGCGGATGAAGCTG